GGGGGGGGAGGGGGGGGGAGGGGAGGAACAGCAGCAGAAATGCACAGGCACACAGAAAGGGTTCAAAGAACACCCAGCATTAACAAGTCACCCATACGCACGGCAGGGAGGGAAAGGATAGAAAACACCCACATACGCACAGATGTGAGGACAAGAAAAAAAAGAAACTCCTCACAGGCACAAGATAGGGATGGAATATATAGGCCCAGGGGCCCAGAAGCAAAGGGGTGCCCACATATGCACCTACACCAAAGGAATTGACAGTGCTCCCAGCCACAAAGGCAGGCCAGGCAGAGGAGCAGGCAAGAGAACCAAACAGGTGTATAACCACACACTCGGAGGGCAGAGATGAGGAATGCATTGTGAGAGGGCACCCCTATGGGCAGAGAAAAGAGTAGGGTCTCCCATGTGCACAGACTGGGGAGACCAAAGGAGGGGTTGGGGTAGGGGAATTGAGATGTACTCTGGCTGAGGCAGAAAAAGTGAAAGGCACTCTCAGCTGAATTGATGTTAGGAGCTTTACACTCAGGAGAGGACTAGAGACTGGTCCTCAAACACTGCCTCCCTTCTTTCCCAATCCAGTCAAACTCAGGCTGCTTCACCATATTCTGGAATCAGCCAAGATAGTGTATGAACCATTTCAAACTAGAAATCTTCCAGACTTATTTTGAGCCTACACTTGGTTATGCTGATCTATTTGGAAGTTGAAGACCTGCTTACACATGGCCCAACCTGTATTCACTTCACAGAGACAGTAGGGGACTTGCTACCTACCATCTGCACTACACTCCTGTGCTTCCCATAGCCATCTCCTAGGACAATTTAGCATCTCTACAAGTTGTTTCCCAAATGGGAACTGGATGGACCACCTCAAGGGCTGCAATTTATGATCATTAGACACTGCCAAGAAAGATGATAATTTCAAAGCTTCCTTTTGGCTCAGGTAAACACACACACAAGCACACGCACACACATCCAGAGTCTATGGGCTTTAAAAGAGAAAATATCTTTGGCTAACTCAGCCAGTCAAACCTATTCTCATCTTAGGCTGCTACTCCACAACTCAAAGCAAAGCGATGGGCTAGGATTGGAAAGCCAGCAGCAGCAGCAACCTAATGATTGTCATAAAACACATGACAATGAGGATTAAGGTTAACAGAATCAAGGCAACCAGCAACCAGCTTCTATTTGCAGCAACCCAAAAGGAAATCCTCCATTGGTGCAACCTGTCAGGATTCAATTAGAGCCTGTGTAAATAATAATTTACAGCACCAGAGGACCTGTACCCCAAACATATGCCTTCATTCTCCTCTGCAAATATATGGAAGCATATGGATAAATAGAGTAAAATCTGCATAAAATGACACTGCAGGGAAGGTGCTGCCACAAATCAAATCTCATTCTCAGTTTTAGCACATTTCTGATAAGTATCAAAATAAGAAGGAAAAAAAGGGTGAAGGAGAGGAGAATATTCAATCCATTTCAATCCCTGCCTATTTGGCATCATCAAGATAACTACTAAACAGGGTTAAACATCACTAATGAAAACTGTTAACAAAATAATCAGGTTTCATATCTATCCAGGGTCATTCAACTACTGCAGAAAACACAAAAACCCACCATCCTATAATCCTCCGTCCCTACTCTTTTCAGGAATTACTTAAGGGCACAAAAATCACCACAGACCAAAGAAAGGAAAAAGAAAGAAAAAAAAAGGAAATGTCAAGCTCTCTGCAAATTAGAACTTAATAAAAGAACAACTTATATTCAATACAATTAACATGCTAGAAATAACTTCGGAAGTTTTGGATGCTGTGGGCCAATTCAACAGGAAGAATGGCATCAGGTATCAAGAACTGAATGGACACAGACTTTAAAAAAAGACAATAAGAGGTGACAAGAAAACCAATTAAAGTCAAATGCTCAAGATGACCCTGGGTCTCATGCAATTGTATACTACACGCTATACCCAATAAGAACTTAACAACAACAAAAGAAAAAATAAACAAAGTCGAAATATACTTAACACCACAAAAGCAACAATAATACCGTCTGACATCCATGGAAACAATTCCAGCCTAATGTAGCCACAAAAAATTGTCCAAGTGTGAAAGAGCATTTCCAGCAGACCAAGATGATATGCATTCTATTTATAGGCATTTCTCCTGCTCCTTGCAATAGTCTTCAGCACACACAGATAGGAACTGTAGATAAATTCAATTTCCCTGGAGACCATTAAGGATCAATTCTCCTGAAAAAGCCAAATAACCCTTCCCTAAATAGCACAGGATCTTTGCAGTAGTCAAATAGGAAGTCTACAGCCTACCTCAAATGCTGTAATTAAATATCTCGACCATGTAACCCAGGGGTGTCAAACATGCAGTTTGTGGGCCAGATATGATCCACGGAGCCCCACAATCTGGCCCCCATGCTACACTGGATCAGCCCCACATGCAGAGGCCAGGATGTGCATTCCCTGGGGTTGGGTCCCAGACTGCACCACCTACAGCACTCACTTAGGTAAGCATCCTGGCTCAACCTGAGCAGGGAGAGGGGGAAATTGTTAGTGGGCCTGATCCAGGGGGCCAGATGAATTTGTCACCATTAAAACTCACCTAGATAAAACTATTAGAACAATTATTCAAAAAGTAACTAGGAAGGTAACTCTAGGAAAACCTCCTAAAATAATGGATAATACAAACATTGATACATTAACTGCCTTATAGCCAAGAAGGTTTCCTTGAGCTTAATTTAAACCAAAGGCTGCATTTACAGATACTGGTAAAATGTTTCTAAGCCAAAAAAAGAAAAAAGAAAAAGAAACGAACAAACTATTCATGACAGCAACAGCTATAATTATTCTTATCAAATACTGTATATTAAGACATGCTAAAAAGTATCCCACCAGAATTATTCAGCTTAACTTCAGAGTCCATATTGATCACATAGTTCCTTTGAATTATGTGCAGTGCAAGAAATTTTCTACCCCGAAGACCTTGAAAGAAACAGAGCAGGCAGAGAAACAAGACAGACAGCAATAGTGGGAGCTAGGTAAAACATCCAAAAAAAGTGCTCAGGGTACGCACAAAAATATTTTAAAAGCTCAACCTTACACTGTAGTGACAATCTTCTGCAAATTTCTTAACAAGTCTTATGGAAAGGGCATGTATCAAGAAGAGATTTGATGGAGAGACTGGCACTCAAGACCCGTTCAGGACAGGATATATGGAAGCAGCAAAGTGTGGACACTTATAGCTAAAAGTGACTGATGGACTGGATGGTGCAAGGAACAGCAAATGTGGATAAGAGACAAAATGGGTTATGGCAGGAAAGGGAAGACCTGTATAGGGTCCTGAATATGAGAACAAACAGCATAACCTTTAAAAGGTGGAAAAGTAGCAACAGGGAGATGTTCTAAGGGAGAGATGAGTTTGCTCAATTTAAAAGGCTAGGAAGGTTTACTTCTGACATACCAAAAAGGTTTGCTGCTATAGCCAATATATATAGCATTACCATACAGACCCATCACTCTATAACAGGGGTGGGAAATTATTTCAGGCGGAGGGCCACTTACCCTGCCTGATAGAAAAACAAAACAAAACACCAAAAAACAACTTGTCTCCTACCCTGTAAAAACTCTCTCTATCAGTGAGGAAGTTAGCTCCCACTGATCATTCATTATATCAAAGGTTTTCCCAATTTCTGGAACTACTATGGTGAAAATTATAACATTTTCTCCCAAAGCAATGCAGGCAAGTTTATTCTCACATCCCCGTGGATACCTCCTCGCTAAAATTCTGCTTTCTGTATTTGGGTTAGAATTTAGGCATTAATCTCATAACAAGGGGAGTAAATTATCTGCACTGGAATCTGAAGAGAAATTTTGCCTTGGGTAACAACAAACAGAAGTGGGCAGCACACAGAAAATATCCTTATGAATCATCACCCCTATGTCACAACAGAAGTAACACTAAAGATGTCAGGTATAAATCATTCTGAGCGTTACCAGAAAAGGCAACACATGCTGAAAGATGCTATAAGAAATAAATAGTAACACCAATCAGGTTAACAAGAGTAGTTTCCATTACAGGAAAGCAACTTGGGCTCAAACAGTTTCTACTGCAACCATTTCCATGGAGTTCTCACAATAGCACAGTACTGAAAAGAACACTCTTACACATTAAGTCCACTGTAGAAGTTACCCTTCCACAAGGTGTCATTATTTCAGTGACTATTTTAGGGTTTCAAGGGAGGTGGAAAAAAAAGCCATTCTTCATGGCACTGATGTGGGCATCAAGTCACTCATGAGAGGCAGCTTGATCCACGGACAATAAAGTAAACTGGGACACTAAAGACTGGGTTCCATTTCCACCTTTGTCCCTGCCTGCTGCACAGTTCTAAGCAAGTCAGTTTACCTGGGTCTCCATTTCCTTTTGCACCAATCATCTATTTAAATTGTAAACTTATGAGGCAGGGACTCACTTTTTACATGCTCACAGCACTCCCAGCGATCGAGGTTCCAAAACATCACAAAGCAACAAAATGGAACATGTCTCCTGCAGTTAAGGTTGGAAATGCATGCTCCATAATGCCAGAAGTTATTTACTGTTAACAAACCTAAAACCTGCTCCCCAAGATACTTACCTGAAGCAATTATCACTAGCTGTGCAGTCAAGCTGGACTTTGGTCCTTTTATTTTGTTTTATCCAATGATCCATAAACAACATGACTTAAGGTAATGTTTGTATAACCAAACTTTCTACATGATCTTTAGGTCCTTTTGTCCACAGAAGGCACGTGGTTTGAGCCCTGCTGATTTCAAGGACCAGCATATACAAAAGTTCTTTTGAGGTTTTCACTGCTTTCTTTCACATGAGGTGCTCCCTTGTTAGTTACTGTAGCAAACCACACAATTATCAAAATATTTAAAGCAAAAGACACTTGGAACCTTGCCTTCATTATACAGAACTAGCCCTGGAGGTGAGGTCTGCACCCTTAACCTCACCATACCAAATACTGAAACTTTACTTTTGCTCAGCCCAATTCTCTCTTTGGTTTTGTGTACAGCTACACCTTCAATGGTAATCCTTACTACAGTGGGGAAAAAAGAGGAATCCCTTACTAGAATACAAACCTTGATTCTTTTGACCAGTCCCAGTCACCAGCTCAGATCAGTTGTTGAAACTGGCTAAGATGACCAAGTTAGCGTGACTAAAATTACAACACTTCACCAAACAAGTAGCAGCAGCCAGCCTCATGGGTCACACTTTCCATGGCACTGACAACCATGCTCCTCTTACAGAGATGTAGTCAGAGTACCAGTTGGATTAAATTTGAGGGGGTTGGTGGGTGTGAGGATGGTTACTTTTAAGTGGGACTGTAAATGGGATGGCACCCACTGCTGGTCAGCCTATGCCATAGCCCTGATGTGACCCAAGGAGGAATCCCCCAAGATGATGGTGGCCTGAAAAGGGGACATAGGTTATGTGCAGCTAATGAAGTGTGGCAACTGCACCCTGCTGCACAGTGCTAAAGGAAAGGCCAAAAGCCTGCAGCTAGCTGAAGGGAAGACCTGCTGAAGTCATGGGCATTGTGAAGAGGGAGAGAGTGCAGCTCCAAAAGCCATGACATACACCTTGCATACAATGCAGGGGGCTGGTCTAGGACTTGTGCTGGATGACCTGAGAGCTGGCTCCAGGGCCACTCTGGATCAGGCCATGATAACCTGCTGGACTGGTCCTGCATGCTGCCTTCATCACATGCAGTGCAATCCCATGTCAACCCTGTGCTATGCGCAGGGCCGGGTCACCCCATACACCATGGGCAGAACATGCCTTGTCCTGACTCCACGTACCATCCATGCAGCACAGCAAGCCTGAGGCTGGCGTGTGCTGTGTGGTGCATAGGCTGTCTGCAGTGCTGCAGGCGCTGCACAGGTGGTTGGTCCCAGCCTGGCCTGCAAATCAACCTAGAGATCCTCAGCCGGCCCACGGGCCAGATATGTCTAACACCCCTATACTACAGAAACAGAGGTAAATGTATAGCCACAAACCCTCCCAAACCACCTTCCAGAACCAAAGCCTCAGCACTTGCACAATAAGCTCAGAGAGTAGGAGACAATAGGATGATGGTTCCCTCAATGTGTATGTCACAACCTCCAGCAATCAGAGCATAAAGACTGTCACAAGGTAAAACATGGAGAGACTTGAGGATAGAAAGGCTTGGTGTCAGCTGAAGGTGCATGCATAGAGAACCTGAGAAACAACCCCTCTCCCCCCCAACCCCTTCCAGAAAAGAGGAGTGTCACAGTCAAGGAGATGGGAATTTCTGCAAGACCACCCAAATGCTCTACCTACCCCTGCTCTACACAGTCAGTTACCAAGTACAAGTAGCCATCATTAGTTATCATACACCCTTTGGTATGGCTCCTTTCTGACCCTGAAGACTGATAGTACATAGTTCCCTAGTACATATAGTAAACTAGGGAAGAATAATTCCATCTCCCCTCCCACCTTCAGAGCATAGGAGTTTTTAGAATGAGAGGGTGGGTGGGGAATACTGTACTTGGAATGTTGTCACTCAGACTAACGGTTTTTTTCTGCCCCAACAGTAACTTCCCATAGATATACAGTGGCTAGCACTCATCCTCCCTGTCACCCGCAGTCCCTGTCAATGGGGCAAGGCAGGGAGATTTCCATAGGTTCTGCTGGGCTGCTTCATCCAAGTACACTGAATGGATCATCACGAGACCGGTCAGAGGCATGTATGTGCCACATCAGAGGCAATCTGTGGTCTGTAAATGGAGCTGCCTGCCTCTAGTGACAGCCAGTACCCAAGAAGTGAAGAGGAAATACTTCTGAAGTGCCTTGCTGGTGGGAATCTGATCTCAGGGCTGCAGAACAAGTGGCTCTTCAGAGAGAAGTTATATTTCTGTGGCTTCATGGGGCAGGGGGAAGCACTAAAGAGACAAGTTGCCTGCTTGTAAATGGGCAGAAAGACATGATTTAGAAAAGCTGGAACTTACCTTTACTCCATCTGACTTCTTGTTCAATAGACTTTTGGCAGCTGCCAAGAGAAACAAGAAAAGCAGGTCAGGGGTTAGTTTTCAGATCTCTGTCCCTCCCCCTCCCCTCTACTCAAAATCATAGGAGAATTCAAGGGGAAGGCCCCCTACTAATGTTGCTTTCTAGCAACAAGAGTGATAGAGTCCAGGCCAGGTCTGTCTTCAACTCTTGTGCTGTTACTGCCATCAAGACTGCCTATTTTTTCTAGAGAAATGCTCCACTTTCAGTCAGCAACTCTCCCACCCTCCACAACTCAGAAATCCACTCTCCAATAGGGCTACAGAGCTCCTGAGGTGGTTTTACTTCAGTAACTCTACTCACATACCAGCTTTCCCTTTGTCCAGATGTGGCAGGGGTTACAGAGAGAAAGCTGAAGGATTCTGTCAGATCCTTGTAGTCAGACAGATTTGCCCTCAAGTACATCCATTTACATAACAGACTTTATTTATGAAAAGGGGGACTGATAACGCAGAGCCTTCCTAATCACTGCCAGAGTCCAAAATTAGCCTGGGGAACATCTGGCATTGCAGCAAGGGGTAGATGGGACTGAGGAGTTTGGTGGGGGAGGAGAAGGGAAGGCAATGCTGCCAGCTGTTATGGGAGGCTGTAGAAAAAAAATAACCAAGGCGGCAGAATTTCCTCACTGAAGGATATAGATGCTCTAGCATGCTTGGTCTAAGCAAGCAGGGCTACAACTGAAACAGACTCATATAGAGGCAAGTGACAGTGCACACGAGACAGAATGAAGCACACACGTGTATGTGTAACACTTAGCAAAAGCACGCAGGTGTTTGACCACAGACTGCGTATGCATGCATGCCAGTATGCATATTGGGGCAATTTTATTTATTATAGGAAAGATATGGTGATTATAGCTGTCAATAATAGGTGGCCTGCCTCCAGCCTCTATGGATATGTCAGTTTGTCCTCGTGTACACTGTGGCCAACTTTTGCCATTCCTTTTGCAGCAAGTGCACTTGAGGCACCTACCTGCCTTTTCTGAGCAGTTGCTGAAAAATGTTTAGTTTCATTAACACCAATGGGCACTAGGAGCCAGATCAGATTATTCTCCATATATCTGGTATCTGAGCAGACCTAGGTGCCTAAAAGCAAGTCATTAATGCATCTGTTTTTGTAATATGCAGCCTGGGCATGCAATACCTATGTAACTAAGTCCATATATATTGTCTCCCTCCCCCACACATGTGTAGACAACCTAGAACATCAGTTATGGTGGTTGGATAACACCTGGGCTGAGGTCTTTTAGCTCAGTGTAGACAATAGCTGTTTTCCAAGATGAAAAAAAAGCACCGCAAGCATGTTACTTGTTAATACTGAGCTGGTTCTCCTAATCCACCCCAGCACAGCACCTTGTGACTGGAGTTTTCCTTGCAATTCCTGTTCCCAGAACGTAATAGGGGCACAATGGGGCAGTGCTTCAGGAATTCAGGAGGCACTAGAACAATGACAGTTTTAAGCAGTGCATAGACGCGCTTTGCATAGTATGTCAAAGCGGTTGTGCCAAAACACAGTTCCACAGCACAGACAAATTAATCTATGAAAACCAATGTTTATGAGGACAGGTTTGCAGCTAAAGGGTTTAATGTCAGACTCAGACAACCAGCTGCCTGGCAGTGGTTT